AAGCCAATAGTAGTGCAGGATCTACTTCACTTTCCCGACAAGCGTAGTTGGTTTTCTCCTCAACTTGGTTAGTAATATGTCTACATTCTGAAGCATAATGACCAAATTTTTAACAATTGTAACATTTAATTTGAGATTTGTCATACCTTGGTCCTTCATTTTTCCTCGTACCTTTTCCTCTTCCGCGACCTCTGGTAGAAAACGAACTTTATCTTCTTTCCTCCTTGTAGAATGCAATTCTTCCTCGATCTTGGCCTCATCCTCTCCCTCTTTGGCTTCTTCTACTATTGAACCTTCCTTCACCCTCGTTCAAAGTGAGCTTTGTTTGAAGAGCTTGCTCTAATGGCTCTTCTTTCACTTTCTTCCTTAGTCTTTCCTCATGGGCTTGTAAAGATCCCATGAATTGATCGACACTCATACTATCTAGATTTTTAGATTCCTCAATGGCTACAACTATGTAGTCAAATTTAGAATCTAAAGACCTAAGTATCTTCTCAATTACTCGAGTGTCGTTCAATTTTTCTCCATTCCTTTTTAATTGATTCACAATAACTAATACTCTAGAGAAGTAATCAGAAATTGATTCTGATTCTTTCATATGTAAAGCTTCAAACTCACCTCGAAGTGTTTGAAGTCGAACCTTTTTCACCTTCTCAACTCCTTTGTGGGAGTTTTGCAAGATCTCCCATGCTTTCTTACTTGTAGTAGCACAAGCTACTTTCTCGAACATGCCTTCATCTAAGGCTTGATAGATGAGGGTGAGCGCCTTCTTGTCCTTCTTCCTTGCATCCTTCAAACTATCCCTATGTGCTTGGGATAGAGCAATCTCGTCTTGTGGCTCCGTGTAGCCTTTCTCTACGATCTCCCATGCATCTTGCGACCCGAGCAATGCTTTCATCCTTATACTCCAATTGTCGTAGTTATCCTTGTTGAGTTGGGGAACTTGAAAAGAAATCATCCCACTTGCCATTTTTCACAAGAACCTTGGGGCTCTGATACCAGTTTGTTGGAGGAAAGATGGGTTTACTAACTTGGATCAGCTAAAGTTTTTAAGAGGACAACACTAGTAGGAAGAAGGAAGTGAAAAAAGGAAACTTGTATTTATCAAATTCAAGACTTTACACACTTTTTGGCTTTTTACAAAATGGAGGGCACTACCCCTTTATATAGTGTTTACAAGAAAATTCTAGTCCATACATTTTCTAGAGACACCTAGACCACATATCAAGATATTTTCCTAAAATTCTCTAGATATTCTTTATAAAACCACATATCTTACTTAGATATTTATATAGATTTTTCTAGTAGATATTTATATAGATTTTTGTAGATAATGCTTCTAGAAATGCTATGCATGTTGGGCATTTTAATTGATTTGGGCCTATAAGCAAAATCCTTAAACTCATATTATTTGGTTCAAAAATCAAGTTTACTACTCAACAGTTTTTTCATGTGCTAGGCATTTTTGGTGAATTGAGAGTGTAATTGCCATTCAATTATTGAGTGGATCTAGATCGTGTCCATAACTGTCCATCTTCAAACTTGTTATCGTCGACCAGCCATTGAAGGTGTGGTCGATTGACCACATGTGGAGTAGGTCGGTCGACAGTCGTCGGTAATGCTTCGTTTATTATTCTATATAATAATTGGAAAGTTAAGATAACAGTCCTCATTGCAACTTTAAATTTAATGTAAGTTTTTAGTTTTTATATTCTTCTTTGTATAAACATTATTGATTTCTTTTATTAAAACTGAACAAAAGTCGCGTGTAGGTATGAATCGAAAAAGAAAGAGAAAATTTGTGGCATTTGACACAAGGATTTCTTTATACGACCATTGTAGATTGCTTTTGATAATAATGGATGAGTTACGTGTGTAAGTACGATTTGACAAAGAAAGAAAAATAGTGATATTTGACACAATAATAAAAGTAACGTATAAATTTAATTTTTTTTCCTTCCTTTATACAAACATTAACGATTCTTTTGTGAATATTGAAAGAGTGGTTTGGTAATTACCAATTGGGAAAGAAAGAAAAGAAAAACGCAAGGATTAATGTCGTGCATATATTAGTTTTCTTTAATTTTTCTTTATACATACATCATCATTTTTTTTTTTTTTTTTTTTTTGTTAATATTGAATGAGTACGGTGCAAGTATGAATTGCGCTAGAAAGAAAAAATATTGACATTTGACATAAAAATAGAAGGAAAATATTTTTAATTAGAAATTTTTTTTCCTTTACTAAAATGAAAATCTTCTTCAATCGAAATATTTATTAAATATGGTTGTTTAATCATGCAAAATAATTATAATGTCCTTTTATTAAAAACGTCATCTAGGCAATGTTAGCAAAATTTACGAGAAGGACTAGTGTATCTAAATGGATTAGGAAAATTTCTCACTTTGCCTAATTGTAAGAAGAATTAATCTAGTTATTAAACAAAGTTTGTTTACAAACTAAGTATTGAGAAGATCTAGACTATTGATTTCAAAAAATGTTTTTGAAATGATTGGCCTAGATGTTACAAACACATAATTTGTCAACCTCGTTTGTACAAATGGCATGATTCTTGCAAGAAAGCTAGATGGTTCAAAATTCATTTGCAAAAAGGGAGAATTTTGTCATAATTTTGAATTCGAAATCCAATAGTCCGTTTGATTGCAAAGATGGAATTTATGTGGAAAAAAAAAAGAATTCCAAAAAATTGAATTGCCTAGAAATTATTTTTCCTGAGAATTGTAAATTGTTGTGTTTGATTGGTATAATTTTACAAGTGAAAAATGTTGAAATAAAAAAGTTTTTTGGTGTTCGTTTGACCTTTATTTTATATGAAAATTATCAATTAAAGGGATAGATTTTATTGGAATTGGGGATGAAATTTGTTTCCATTGCCAAAAAAAAAAAATCAATCAAGAAATCATCTATCTTTTTGTATTCGTTTGACTTTGTTTTACATGAAAATTCTCAATTAAAGGAAAATATTTTTTTACAATAATTCTTAAAATTTGTTTTCATTGTCAAAAAAAAAAAAAAAAAAAAAAAACCACTACAATAACAGGAAATTTAAGAAAAAGCTGGAAATTAGCTTATGTGACAAGAAAGTTGAAAAATGAATTTCAGGGAAAATTTTGGACATCAAAAAATCAAAAGTTGGAAAATTCATTTTTCATGGAAAATAAATGGCTATCAAACATAGCGTAAAAGTAGTAGAAAATTTTCATTCTCTCTCATTATTATTATTATAGGGAAAGAAAATTCCACCGTCCAAAGATTTTGGACCCATTTAAGCTCTTGTTTAGTTTATCTAAATAAGTTGGAAAAAAATTTAAGTTAAAGTAAATAATTAAAAAGATCCACAATTTTTCATTATACGTTTTAGCTAAACCAAACATAGATTAAATAAGATCTATCTATCACCTAAACCGGGGTTATAGATTTAATACTATTTGTGTAGATGTCCAGAGCAAAATTATTTAGCGGAGACGGGGGACCTTCCACCTTTTATTTTTTTCCTTTTTTTTGCCGGAGTTAGAATTAATTTATATTTATCAACTTAACCACTCCTACCAAACCCTACTACAAATACACTGGCAGGTAAATTACTCGAGGCCATATTTTACAGTATTAAAATATTTGTCATATCAATTTTGCATTTATGATATAGGGCTCATCAAGTTGACGAGGCAACCTAGCATTTGTGGTTAATCATCTTTACTTTTTATGTTATACAGCTTAAGCATGATTATTGTGTTACCAATCGTTGTCACTACTTAATTATCTTACTTATTCACGAAAGTGTAGTCTTATTCTATTAGCATATCCTTGAGGTGGTTGTGTCAATTGGATCATATCAATTCAATTTTGAAGAACAGTCAGTCATATGTAAGGCCTGTTCGAGATGATTTTTTATTCAAAAGTTACTTTTGAATTCATTAAATTAATTTTTATAAAAGTATTTCTTTTAGTTAAAAAAAAACCTTCTAGAGGAAACTGATACAATAAAGCTTTCTTTAAAAACCCTTCCACAAGAAAAATATATTTAAGAAATTAACTCCGAACGCTAATTAAGATAATTTATTTGTGAAGTTCTTCTACAAGAATGTAGATGTAGAAGTAGAAGCAGAATCACTATCAATTAGGTACTAAGATCCTGTTTGAGCACTATTTTTTGCAAAAATGAAATAGTGACACTATGAAATGGTGATTTAATGAAGAATGTGTGGTTAAAAAAAAAGAAAAAGTTTTAGATTTGCATGTAATATTATTTTACTAAAAAATATATGATTGGACATAAAAGAGAAAAATATATTTTAAAAACAATGGGGAACAAACAAGGGCTTAATTCTTTTCATAATAGCTTGCTTAGCCATTATCATGGTTGCAAAAAATACGTTTTGAAATAGTGATTTAATGGAGAATGTGGTTAAAAAATAAGGAAAATTTTTAGGTTTGCGCCTAATATTATTTTACTGAAATATGTTATTGAAAATAAAAGAAAGAAAAATTTATTTTGAAAATGATGAGAACCAAACACGAGCTTAATTCATTTCATAATAGTTTGCTCGGCCATTAGCACGGTTGGAGCAACTCACAGGCCCCTATAGTCGAACCCAGCACGGCCACCCATAAAGATGGGTAAACTCACTATATTACTTTTGCTTGGATCAAGTCTTTTATGTAACGATGAATTTTGACACACAGCTTGAAAAGCAATCTTGTAGTGTTTTTCATATTTTTATATTTAATAAATAAGCCCAAATCGTCTAGGACTCAACAAAGAAAAGATGGTTCATCGATGGTATATTTTGTTTCTGGACTGAGTATTTTACTTGCTAGACAGTAGACACATTTTGATAGCTATAAGTTAATTAGGGTGAAAGACACACATAATATATAAATAAAAATTTTGGTGCCACGCCAAGGATACCATTTGTAATTTTCTGCACAATAAAGGCTCATTTTGGTGGCTAATCTTTATATAAACGACCAAATTTCATTAGATTTCATGTCAAGACTTCATTCAACCTTCAAACATGAGGTTGGCTGCAGTACTTCTGTTTTTGGCAACTATATCTGCGATTTGTCATACAGATGGCTATATAGAGCAAGTGACCCAACAAATCCATCTCCTCCGGCCGCGGTCAGGTGCTACAGGCTATCGACTTAAGGACGTTGACTGCCTCAGCTGGCGTCTAGCTGTGGAAACAAACAACGTTCGCAATTGGAAACTGGTGCCCGAGGAGTGTGAACAATATGTTGGCCATTACATGCTAGGCAAACAATACCGTAAAGATTGCGAAATTGTGGCACACAGCGCGATTGAATATGCCAAGAGCCTCACACTTGTTGGTGATGGGAAGGATATTTGGATCTTTGATATTGATGAAACTACGCTATCTAATTTGCCATATTATGCTCGCTCTGATGTGCAATTTGGGTAAGCACCATAATTCATTTTTTTTTTTTCATTTAATACTTCAAATACCCACAATTTCCATAAATAGTTGACTTAACATTTTTGCTTTTATAAATCATAAGATGTTTTCGATAATATTGTCAACAATTTGTTTATACCATATAATTTAATTAGTTACGCGTCATTTCCACAAGGACCGTGCTGTGTGCACAGCTCGGCATGCAGTCCCATCACAGTGGGGGGCCGCGGCAATAAAAAAAAAAAAAAGCGCGGTTTCGCTTTTTGTATTGTTATTCCACATTTATCTTGACCACTTTATTTGACTTCAGGGCATTACCATACAACGACACAAAGTTTAACGAGTGGGTTGCGGAGGGAGCTGCGCCCCCAGTGCCGGGGTCTTTGTGCCTATATCAAACATTGCTGCCTATTGGGTTTAAGATTGTCTTTTTAACAGGAACAGCAGAAAGATTCAAAGACATTAGGATTTCTAATCTAAAAGCAGCTGGATATCATACTTGGGAAAAGCTCATTCTCAAGTAACTTATCAATTTTTAACTTCTTCCTTTCACCTTCATCTAATTTGGAGCTTAAAAATGAGTACAATTGTTATTTATTCTAACTTCTAATAGAAAAAGTAAACTCTTTGTTAGTAAATTTTATCTTACTGCCAAAGTAACTAATTTACTTAGTTACTAAGAATAAGTAATTATTGGTTTGACAAACAAAATGCTGCTTTGATACAGGGGAGAAGCTGATCAGGGGACCTCTGCATTAGTGTACAAATCCAAGAAGAGAACAGAGCTGGTAGATTCTGGATATAGAATTCTTGGAAATTTGGGAGATCAATGGAGTGACATACTTGGAGATAATTCGGGCAATCGAACATTCAAAGTGCCCGATCCCATGTATTACATTGGTTGAGCGGTGATCTAATTATGTACTGTTATGTCAAGTTTCATTGAATCTCATTTCGTCCCATTCCATTTTCTCTTCTATTGTCTCTGTATAAGTATTCGAATGTACACCAAATATTCTTCAATTTTAATAATTAAATAACAAGATGTCATGTCTACATAAACAATGCCTTCTTATCTAATGAAAATATAATTTTCTAATTGAATACTTCTAATCATTTTCATATAATTAATTTAATACTTGTCAATAATTGTTCTTAACTAATTGAAAATATTATCTTTTAACTGAATATTTCTAGTCATTTTCATATAATTGATTTGATATTAGTCAATAATTCAAATTTGATATATTTAAGCACTGAAATCTTGTCATGAAGTATTCGTATAGAAATTATCTAAAAATAATCATATGGATAGAAGTTTATAAATGAGAATTCAATTAATTTCTTCAAGTGTCAAGCTTACTTCATATTTGAGGATGCTTAGACACACGAGATGTCTGAGAAATTGTTTCACACTTCCATTAAACTTAAAAGTAAGTAAAAGTTACTTTCATTTCAAACATGTTCGAATTTTTATTTTTTTTAAAAATAAATTTTACTTATTTAAGTTTAATATTTTTCTAGCTCTTGTTTCAGCCCCATTTTTTCGAAAATCATTTTTTTGGAAACTTATTTTCAACCACACATTCTCTCATAAAATAATTTTACACGTAAATTCAATTTTTTTCTCTACTTTTTAATCATACATTCTCTAAAAAATCACTATTGAAAAATACATTTTACACAAAAAAGGCACTCAAGCAGAAGCTTAATTTCACCATAACCCCATAAGAGACCCCAAACCCAGATTTTAATTCTAATTATGATATCATTGTCAAATTTCCTAAACTTATTTTCAATTCTGATAAATAAAATTAACTTATTTTAATACTTATTTTGTAATGGAAAACGTTTAACACGTTTTTAACGGTGGAGTACTCATTCAAAACCATCTTCTTAAAACTTCTATCATTTTTTTCATTATGACGCTCCATCGCTGTTGATAGAACCGCAAATGCTCTAATTTATTGAAAATCTATATTCCAAATGGATCAATGAATTATATTTAAATCAATGATCCATCACATGAGTCCCATTATTAGGCCTTTTGGTGAGGCCACGACAGTCGAATCAGACATGCAAATTATGCAATCTGATGGTTAATCATATGAAACAACATGGGTAAGCTTGCAATTTTTTGAATTATTATCTTTCTGATAAAGTTTGGAATAGAAGATTATTATAACAAAAATATAATACTCCATCTATCCCATAAAAGTAGACTTATTTTCTATTTCACACTTATTTAAAAAAATATAATTATTTATTTTTGAAAAAATAATATTTTCTTACATTTTTCTTATATACTCCTATGTTTTAAAATCAAAATTTTAGCAGATTAATATGTAATTGAAAGTTAAAGATCCCATAAAATATGTGATTAATACTAATTATTGACTTTGATTTTAATAAAAATCTAGATTTTAACTTCTATCAAACAAAGTCAGATCTAAAAGAGGGAGAATGAGAAGAGTGTTGGAAGATATGCAAACAAATATACAAACAGTGGAATAATTCTTCTCCCAAAAGCAAAAAAGTAAAACGTCCATTTTTGACATTTGTATATGCTAAAAATTCTCTAAAAAAATCAATCACCCCAAACTAGAAGAATACGAGCAATTATTTTATATAAAAAAATTCCCGATGTAAGGAATAAAAATCACGGGACTTAGACCAATCAAAACCTTCACTATCAATTCAATAATGGAAACAACAAGTTTTTTCTAGTCACAACTAGAGGTTGTAACGTATATTTCTTCAAGATAACAACAATTTTGACAAAATAATATGAAAATAAGAAAAATATATCCCAAAAATTTGGTTACTATTCACATATATTAACCAATGCTCCAAACTCAAAATCCGATCTACACCATTTAGAATATAGTTCTATGTCTTGTGAACATGTCCTCCAAATTTCAGCTTAATCGGACCATGGACCACTTAGGGTTGGGGTTTTGATGAAATCTGGTGCAGGGAAAAAACTATTTTTTTCTCTCTTTTTAAAAGCAGCTTGGACTCCTATTTTCTCCAATCTTTCCTATATTTATATTCATCATTAGGGTCAAAACCCTAATGGGCTTTGGGTTTATAATATAAGATCCCAAACATCAGCTTTCCTCATCATAAGAGGAAATAACCTAACAAATTTCCCCCTTCGGACTATGGGGAGGAAATAGCCATCCCAGCAATTGAACAACTATATTCAAATTTTTTCTTTGATAGTGTCTTTGTTAACATATCAAACCATTATGCTCGATGTGAACTTTCTCAAGTTCCAATAACTTATCATTCAATGCTTCCCTAATCCAATGGTATCGTACATCAATGTGCTTCGATCTTGTATGGAAACTGAAATTTCTAGCATGATGAATAGCACTCTGGCTATCAAAAAATAACACATACCTTTGTTATTTGAAAGAAAGTTTATCATGAACTTTTTTGCTCATAGCAACTCTTTAGTCGCCTTTGTTGTTGTAATAAACTCTGCCTCTGTCGTAGAAAGAGCGATACACTTTTGAATTTTTGATTGCCAAGCCACAGCCCCACCTACATGACAAGAATTAGCTTAATGATCTCCCGTTTTGGGATTCCTTCCATTTAAATAGGGATAATTAAACACATGCTAGGGTCCTATGGTAAACTATATTTACAATAATTTACAATCAATTGTATATGTAATTATGGTAAAATAATATTTGGGCGAAATCTTTTGTCAATCTCGTTGATATTCTCCCTGAAATTGATGTATGTTGATAGAAAAACATCAATTTGCAAACAAGAAACTGATGTCAGTTTCATGTCATTGCCTTAGTAAACACATTAGCGATCTAAACATCCGTGGTGATATGTGAAAGAGAAATAATGCGATCATCATAAGCTTCATGAATAGAGTGAAAATCCAATTCAATGTGTTTAGTGTGCTCATGAAAAATAGGATTAGCAGTAATTTGAAAGGCATTAGTATTGTCAGCATGAAGTAGAGTAGGCTCAAGTTGAGGACAAGCAAGCTCCGCTAAAAGACCCCGTAGCCAAATAATCTTAGAAAGTAGAAGACATAGCACGATACTCAGATTTCGTGGAAGATTTAAAGACACGATCATGTTTCTTACTGCGCCAAGGAAATAAGTGCATTCCCAAGAAACATACACCAACATGTAATCGAGCGACGAGTTTCCACACAGCTAGCCCAATTTGCATCACGATAGCCTACCAACCCAAGGGAGGAGTTAGCAGGAAAGAAGAGACCCCTATTAGGTGTACCCAGCAAGTAACAAACGAATGATGCGGCAAACCGCAATCAAGTGGGGATGTCATGGAGCATGCATAAACTGACACATGTGTTGTATGACAAAAGAAATGTCAGGTCGAGTAATAGAGAGATAATTTAAACTATCCACTAACTGACGATATAGGGAGGGATCATAAAGAAGATCACCCTCCTCCTTGCGGTATTTACCACCGTTGTCAGACCTGAAAAGTCGAATACCGAAAGAAAATTGTGTCTCAAGACAGAACTGAGAGAGATTTAAACATTGGTGATTGGGTTTCTATCAGGATAAGGCCTTATTAGTGTAAGCTACAGAAGTATGAAGAACTGTACTAACCTCACCTTTAGAGCGAAAAAAAATATCCAAGTGTAACGACTGAAATCATCAATAAACGTCACAAATTACTTATAATTGGCATGTAAAATGACAGGTGTTACGCCCCAAACATAACTATGACTAATCTTAAAGCATTTATTTGCCCGGCTCCCATGAGTTAAAAATGGAAGAATCTTACTTTTGTCAAGTTTATAAGCATCACAGTTAAAAGACAAATTAGAAAATTGAGACTTATCTTTATTGCCCAAAAAATCACATTTCAATAAATGAGATAAAATTGCAGTATTATGATGACGCAACCATTTATGCCAAATTTCATGTTTAAGCCCAACATCAATGCAAGATAAAGACATAGCAGTAGGAATAGTAAATTGTAACAGGAATAATCTTCCCCATTTTAGGTCCCTTCGCGATCATCTTTGCCGATCCCTGATCTTGTACAGGACAACCAGCACGAGAGAAACTCACATCAAAGTTATTATCAACTAAATGACCAACTGACATCAAGTTAGTAGATAGACTCGAAGATACAAAAACACCATCAAAAGATGATCCAATGTCACCAACAACAGTAATCGGAAGAGTACTCTTTTTAGCAATTTGAATATGGTGTGTACCAGTATAGCGTCGAATGTTATGTAATGAAGTAGAACTACCTGTTATATGATTTGATGTCCCTGAATTGACAAACCAAGTGACCCTTACCTTGTAAGCTTAATGCAGAAAAGGCCAAAACAATTATCTGTTGGACCATCTCTGGGGTTAGAACAGGTTGATTGGTACTAGCTTGGGAAACAACTGGAGTAGTACCTTGAACAGCAGCTTGACAAGCATTAGCTTTCTGGTTTGGTGGTCTAGTAAGACAGTCCCTGATGAAATGCTTGGATTGCTTACAATAATTGCAAATTTTCTGGGAGCAGTTACCAGCAATATGACCATGACCTTTGCAATAAACACACTAAAGTTTACCCTTTCTCCGTCCTTGAGCAGCATATGCAACGTTGACCACATCAGGTAAGGAAAAAATCAACTCCAATATGAGCTTGTGTAACTTGTCATTGTTTTCCGCACGCAGAAGTTCACCCAAATACACATCCAACGAAGGAGCTGGATCATGATTTAATAAGGCTGCTCGAACCACTTCAAAATCGGGTCGTAATTTCATAAGAAACTGATCCCTCATACTAACCTCCTGAACCTTCTGTAGTGCGGATAAGGCCGTTGTCAGGACCTTAGCATAAATTATGCCTGAGTACTTACTCCACAAAGCCAGAAAACCAGAATAATATTGTTCAATAGCAAGATTAGCCTGACTGTATTTGACAATCTCTAATTCCAACTGAAATCCCCTTGCATAATTGTCCTGTAAT